AAAAGCATAGCCTTTGAAGCTAGCCGACTCCTTATTACTTTTTTTTTGTTTGGATAAGATTATGTGCCTATAGGGTTAATTTTATGGCAAATTATATGCATTGTGAACATGTTTCATATTTTTTAGCTAAAAATTATGTTTTATATATATTTTTATATTTTTTATTATACGACCTGTGCGACCAGTTGATCCAGCAGTTGAACTAGTGAACCATTGACCTAGTATCTCTATCGGTTCAATGTTTGGTCCAGTTCTGATAACTATGCTTCAATTTGATAATAGTACATACACTCTATGTGAATATTTCGAGTTCTACCTAAATTGGGTGCGACTCGATAGTATCGTTCCGACTCGGAGTTATATCCATATGAATCAAACATTGCACTCCAGACTCAAACAAATTTGGTGAGATCTTCATCAAAATCCACAAATTCAAAAGGCCAAAGAAAAAGAAAAGTGAGAGGAAAACGATGAAACCCTTCAAACCCTAGATTGTAAAACTCACAGATTCACCCCATGGCAAACAGAAGAAGGATTCAAGGAATTGCAAGGCAAACTTGACCCCTTTTCTTCTTCTTTGTGCAGAAGCTAGTAGTGGCCTAGATCCCACCTTCCTAGTGATTGACTACAACTCAAGCCTTCGATTGCAGTATTTGAGATGATTCATCTCATACGTCCTCTCTCTCTCTCTCTATGTGGCATGCGTGGAGACGATTCTTCTTTCAGGTCTCTCTCTTCAGTCCTATAAGAGTCAACAGAGTTCCTATCTATGGTCCTTAAACGTGATTATTTTTTCTCTTTTTGGCAGTGTGTTACTTATAGGCTATCTTTCTTTTTTTTTTTGGGTCATTTTCAAAACCTTCGCTAGAATTGCATTTTTTTTTATTTAGTTTTGGGTATATATATTTTTTAATTCTTAATCTTCTTTTTTCCTTAAAAATAAAGGTAAAAATTATGTTGACTTAGAGTTAAACTTAGACATTTGATTTAAAAAAACTCCTATATATTTTGACTCGGTACATTCTTCAATGCTTACATTGAATATTTATTATTATTACTTTTCTGTATCGCCTGAATAATTAATTTGTACTATGCTTAATTTATTAGGTGATGCATTTTGAAAATAAAATGCATGGATGTTGTTAATATTTTTCATGATTTTTTAAGAATTTTTTGAACTTTTTGTCTAGCATTTTGTGCCTATTGGCCCACACGGTATCGTGAGTGTGATACATTTGTATCAATGCCCTTTGAGATAAGGATTGATATGCAACCTTGTATTATCACCTCTTGGTTAGAACTTAGAATAAAGGGTGGGGGAATGAAAATCTTTCCATTTCTTAGGGATCATCTATTCCTTGCGTTTAGCGCCCCCGCTGCCTTCTTTTTGTCCGTATGATTTATTTTTTGACTATGAGGCACAAATACTTCATACAGGACAAAATATTCAAGTGCAATAATATACAAAACTACAAATTCTTGACTTTGGAAACATGTTCGTCATAGTTATCAAATCGTGTATCGGAAAGCGTATCATTTTTTAAAAATAGTGTATCGTAAGATACGACACAATTTTAAATAATTAATAATAAAATATGTTTTTGAAAAAAAATTATAGACTCATAAAAACATAACATTTCATTAATATTTCACCTATTTTTCAAGTCACCAATATAATTTACTAATATTAAAAAAATAATAAAGGGTATCAAATTAAATTAATGGTACTTATATATACTTAAAAGTAAAAATTATAATGTAATGGGTATTAAATGTAATTTTTTAATGGGGTATTAAATGTAATTTTTATACTTATAACAAAAAAAAATCTGCACCTCTTGTGACCCACGATCGCACACACATAGACAGAGAGAAGAGGGAAGAGAGAAGAGGCGAGAGGCGCTCAAAGGCGATGCCGATGGGCGATGGCGAACATACTGGTGGCTGGTACCTCGTCGCAGTTCACAGTGACGAAGACAGAGATCGTGAGACAGGGGTTAGTGTTAAAAATCAACCTAGGGTTTCATCCGGTTAGTGTTGCTATTTTTTCTAATTTCAAAAATTTGTTTAATGTGCTTTTGGTTGGGTGTTTGGCTGGTCAGTGGGTTTGGTGGATTGGTAATTCTTGTCTTCATCTCTTGCCTTTTCTTTGGCATTTTCTCTCTGATTTGTGGGCTTGGGTGTCTTCATCTCTGTTTTTCCTGTCAATGATTTGGTGCAAATCTACAAAACAGGCTGTAAAAAAAAAAAAATTAAACAGCTTTTGTGTGTATCGTTCGTATCGTACCGATACGTATCGTGTATTAGACGATACAAAGCAAAAACAATACATATATACGATCCGTATCGTTTTACCTCCGTATCGTAACGTATCGTACGATACATATCGAGTATCGTACGATACTAACAACTATGATATCCGTGAAACTCGTTAAATGTTGGCTCTGGATTCTTTAATCAGACGTGTTCATTTTGTGGGTATTCAATGATGACACAATAAATGCTTCTTTTAAAGTAAAAATTATTGGACTTTTTATACTTTGCACCCTAAAAGATTTTAAAATTTTTACTGTACATCCTCAAAGATTAAATTTTTCATATTGCACACTTAATGTATCAAAAGTATTGCAATGTGACCCTTGTATTATCATATGTTATTTTTTCTGTCAAAGTCAACTCATTGGTAGTGACAAAAAAACTAACAGGAGGATCACATTGCTACATTTTTGATATATTGAGGGTGCAATGTGAGAAATTTAATCTTTAAGAGTGTAAAGTAAGAATCTTGAAATCTTTTAAAGTGTGAAGTGCAATTTACCCAAAATTATTTAATTTTTATTTATTATTAAAGATTTTATAGAAAGTTATAATCATCACATTGTGAGATAGTAGAAAAATATGAAATATTTTGTCTATGGACGTATCTTGACGATATCTATGTCTTATTTTAAAGTTTTACTGTATCACTATGTTCGTATCCTATTGCATTCATTTCACATCCCGTAACCGCATACATGATTCGTAGTTTTATGAGCAAATTATGTACCTTGACATCAACATTGGGCGAAGTTTCGATATTGGCAAGTGAAAGTTATAATCAGGAGTTGGTGTGAATTAATAACTTGTATGGTGCTAAAATGCATGGATGTTTTTAATGTTTTTCATGATTTTTTAAGAATTTTTTGGGCCTTTTGTCTAGCATTTTGTTTGTATTGACCCTTATCGTGCCACGAGTGTGACCCATTTGTATCAATGCCCTTTGAGATAAGGATCGATATGCGACCTTGTATTATCACCCCTTTGTTAGAACTTAGAACAAAGGGTGAGGGAATGAAAATCTTTCCACTTCTTAGGATATCTATTCCTTGTCTTTAGCGTCTCCGCTGCTATCTTTTTGTCCGTATGATTTATTTTTTGACTATGAAATACAAATACTCCGTTCAGGTCAAAATATTCAAGTGCAATAATATACAAAAATAAAAATTCATATGACTTTGAAAACACACATCAAAAGGAAATAATAATGGTTAATCACATCCTATCACTTGGAAATATGTACTTCTAAACTTAAACAAACTCGTTAAATGTTAGCTCTGAATTCTTTACTCAGCCGTGTTCATTTTGTGGGTATTCAATGATGGGACAATATATTCTTCTATCAATGTAAAAATCATTGGGCTTTTTCGTATTTTGCACCCTGAAAGATTTTAAAATTTTTACTTTACACCCTCAAAGATTAAATTTCTCACATCAAAAATATTACAATGTGGTCCTTTTATTAGCTTCCTTTATTTTTTTTGTCAAAATCTAACCTATTGACACTAGCAAAAAAACTAACAAAAAGTTAATAGAAGGGTCACATTGTAACACTTTTGATACATTGAGGCTGCAATGTGAAAAATTTAATTTTTGAGGGTATAAAGTGAGAATTTTGAAATCTTTTAGGGTGTAAAGTGCAATTCACCCAAAATTATTTAATCTTTATTATTAAGGATTTTATGGAAAATTATAATCATCACATCGTGAGATAATAGAAAAATATGAAATATTTTGTCTATGGATGTATCTTGGCGATATCTATGTTCTATTTTAAAGTTTTACTGTGTCACTTTGCTCGTATCCTTATATCCATTTCATATCCGGTATCCGCATCAGTGCTTCGTAGTTTTTTGAGCTAATTATGCACCTTGACATCCACATTGGGTGAAGTTTCAATATTGGTGAGTGAAAGTTGTCTGACCAGGAGGTGCTGTGAATTAATAATCTGTATGGTGCTAATTTCCACGAGGTGAGGTGTAATTGCCATTATTTTTCCTCCAAAAAATATTACGTATGTAATCCAGGGCAACATCTTAAAGTTTTAAAGGTTGGAATAGTTTAAAATTTGCAATGACATCAAGTTGTTGGTTCTTACCCCACTTCTTCATTGATTTGACAGTTGCAATGATTTTATAATTTTGTTAGTCTGGCTCTTTGTAGTTGAACAGCCTGTGATCTTGTTATTAGATGGAAATTCTAGAAATTAATTGTTAGTGTTAGAAAAAGAATTTCTTGAAAAGCTTGGATTGGGCATGTTGACATGTTGGAAATTCTAAAAATTAATAGTTATTAGATGGTATGTGTCTGAGTGTGTGCGCTACTGTCTTTCTTTCTTTTAGGTGGCGTTTATGAAGCCAATTCTACCCTGAAAGTGTGTGATTGCTAAGCAATGGTAAGTTTTTCTTTTGCTTCTCTTCTTTGCAAAATTACATGTCTCTTGCCAGATTCTTACCATGTTGCCTGTATTCTTGATGATTCGTTTACCTTCACTGCTGCACCAACAGAAACTCTTTCTTTCAAACTAGTTAAGGCATTTATTATTTCCTTTTGCCACCTTTATCTCTGATTGTTTGGTTTTAAATGCTGCGTGTTTCTTTGAACTCCGTCAACGTTGGTTCAATATGAGTTGCCTGTGGTAGTTATAGTCTTTAACAATAGTGGTGTATATGGTGGTCGACTAGAGGTGCCCTGAAAAAATTACAGGACCTTACGAAGATGATCCAGCACCGACATCTCTTGTCCCTGGTGCAGGATATCATAAACGTTACAATCGATCCAGATGCTGGTGCAGAAAGTGGGAGGTTGCAGCACCACAACTAAGGTAAGCTGTAGCACAGCGATTCATGGTTTGTTAACCCTTGTTGTTTGAGTTCGTTAATCTTTTCTGTTTGTCTAAGTGGTCAGTTAAAATTTACGAAGCCAGTGTCATGGTTATTGCTAGCGTGTAGATGCAAAGTCATAACTCCAGTTCTACTTTGGCATTAGAGGATTACAATTCATGATACTTGACCTAGTTGATGTACATTATCAACTGACTCCATCTACCGGGTGCACACTTAAGCTGATTTTGTCACGATGGAAATGCATTTTAGATATTCATATTGATCTACTTCGTGTGGTTGATAGTGTTCATTATACGCTTTTTCTATGGCACCTGTAAACAAACAGTGTATTTGTTTTGTTAGCAGTTGGATTGGTGGGTGGAAATTGGAACTGCAGCATGCTCTCAAGACTTTTGGAGGCTGAACAAAAGAAAGTTCAAGTTCTTTGAGCTAATGGTTGCATGGTACAGAGTCCTCAGTTGTTGCTCGGTTTTGTGCGTGATTCAGAGTTTTGTAATCACCTTTCCGTGCACCTTAAAAGTGGGGATTCCAAATTTTTTTTAATGTTTATATTCTGATATTACATGTAAGATAACTACGCGGGTTAGCATTTCATGGGGTTTGAAGTCTTTTGAGACATTAATGAATGTGTATAAGCATCATTGGCTCATGTGGGCATGGGTGGTATCTTATTTGCTTCCGAAGTAAATAGTTCAATGATAAAATTGAGTTTTCCTTCTTCAAGCGACTAATTTTCTCTTTTCTATGTGTAAATTCACCATGGAGAAATTATTATGTTGCAAAAAGGGCAATTCAATATGGGAAATTTTTGTTATTATGCAATTTTATATAATGTATAAAGAGATTGTTTTAGTGATTTGAATCCATGACGTTCAATTTTACCTAGCAAAAATGTTATCTCTGTTGAGAAATTTATACTTTGGTAAAATTTTACTATAACAAATTACACCTCAGCCTAAAGAAAAATGAAAAATTTATCACATCCTTTATAAGAACCAACATGCCTGGTAGTGAACTAACTCCTTGAAGTTCCATGAATGGACATAGATATGTATCACAACTCAACCACCGGGTTTACTTTTATCAAATATCAAAGTGATTGGAATTTGGAACCGTGTGAAATGCTGGAAGAAAATAATTGAGAGGAAGAAACACTAAGCTACATGCATGCACTAAGTTCAGTTTCCTCAATTATGGCTGCTATTTGATTTGTTATTTCCTCTGCAATTGTCCAGAACACCCCTCTGGTTTGGGTAAGATATAAAAACCATAGTAAGAGAAAAAAAGGCAAAAAATAAAACCTAATAACTAGACTATAATTCCAACAAGTTCAAGTACTGGAATTCCATTTTTGCCAATGCCAACGGTAAAGGGGTTTTTGCCCCCATGTACATGAGCTAGCTGCATCAGCGGCGAGGTCACTAGCGATGGGGAAATGTGATGTTGCATTGGTGCTTGGTGCAAGACTTAATTGGTTGTTGCATTTTGGCGAACCTCTAAAGTGGGCTAAGGATGTGAATTTTGTGTTAGTTGACATATGTAAGGAAGAGATTGACATGAGGAAGCTGAGTTTGGTTTGAGGATTGTAAAAGGGTTGTGGAAATGATTAATAAGGAGATTAATGTGACCTTTTTATTTGGGGAAGAATCATCCTTGGGTTGAGGCGATAGTGAAGAAGGCTAAGCAAAATGTCTCAACAATTGAGGCATAGTTGGCTAAGGATGTTGTGCCGTTCAATTTTATGACACCAATGAGGATAATTATGGATGTGATTTTGGGATTGGGTAGTCCTGCTTCCATATTGGTGTCTGAGGGGGGCGAACACAATGGATGTTGGTCGGGCTGTGTTGATTCAGACGGATCCGGGGGGGGGGGGGGTAGGTTGGATGCTGGAAGTTGGGGGAAAATGGGGTTTGGTTTGGGATATTGCATTGCAGTGGCAGTGGCTTCACCTCGGGGCTTGTAGTTACTGTTGAAGGGGACTCTGGATTTCGGTTTAGTGCCATGGAAGTCGAGGTTTGTTCCTTAGTTCTAACTAATATAAATGTTCATTTAGTACTACTTGACTATTGAAAACTCATACACTGTCTTATTTCATTCAATAATGAGTGAACATAATGTTGATTCTGAAGTTGAAAAATTTGTCTTCTCGATGATTTCATATGGATTTAGCTGGAATGTTGTGTATTTAGATGAATGAAGAAGTGTGTTTTTTTAGGTTTACTGTTTTTTTTTTTCTTTTCAACTTGTTTGGATTTTGTATTTGCATCTTCTAGCTGTTCTGGGGAGTCACAACTATTTTCAAAAGCTACAGTTAAGAAGAAACAATATGCAGAATCTAAACGTCTTTCCTCTAAGGTATAGCAAATGATATTCTAGTTGCCTTAAACTTCCCTTTCTTGGACTTTGCTAGAGGCTGGAACCTTGTACACAAGACCTTTTTTATTCTTATTGCTCGCGCAAAAGCATGTTGTGATTGGTTGCAGCATTGAAAACAGATAATGCATATTTTATTGTTCAGGGTTTAAGTTGCTTGTATTATTAAATTTTATGTTTTATTAACAATAGGTTATGAGGGTAAAGTGCATATTTAGTTGTCACCACTAAAATATCTTATAATCAGAATATGTTGCTTGCACAACACTCTCCTTTGTTTTATAATATCCTATTGATTGGTGCCTATATATCTGAGGAATAGATATGGTTACTCTTCTACAATAGACAATTCTCATACAATTACTATCAAATTTTCTTTTATCACGTAGCAGCTGTAATAGAATATCAAATTATTTGAAGCCACTTAATGGGGTGAATTTCTTTTTGGCTCATGATGTAAGTCGTCCACAAGATCCTATGTAGGTCATCCCAGAAAAAGAAACATTTCGAAGACTATGAAACATCTCCTTCACTTTTATCTAAAATAGTCAACTTTGTCAAAATCTTGTTGATGGTATTTCTGGTCACTGGTCATGGCACAATGCTATCCAAACTAAGTGGCAACAGACACGGTTGGCTTCAAATGCTTGAGATTCGATATTGGGGAAGTATTTTTTGATCTTAGCATGGAGTCCTGTCCCAATGAGGAATCAAACCTGCATTACCAGTTTACCACTTGGAACTTACTGTTTTCACCAAAGAATTTTCTGCAACCAACTAGACACAGTCTGTTATGGACATCCATGGATGCAAAAATGTTATAGGTCTACCCTTTCATTTTGTTCAACATCAGTTTAGTCTTTTAGGTTTAATAGTATGGAATATCTTTTGCTCTATGCATGCACTAAGTTCAGTTTCCTCAATTATGGCTGCTATTTGATTTGTTATTTCCTCAATTCTTGACTGGGATATATTTTATTCTTGCCCCCTTTAGAAAAATAGAAAATTTCTTACAGGAACATGGTACTGTGGAATTACTTTGCGTACCAGGTTGTTTATCTTGTGATCACACTCTTCTATACCTTAGAGTTGTTGCTTTGTCCATGTGTTCTCCTAGGAAGTAAACTCTTCGGACTTGTGTAACATTGCAATAGTAACTGTTTCAGCTGTTATATTGGTTTTTTTTTTTTTTTTGCTTTTGGCCCATCATGGAATTTGAACCGGCTGTACCTGGTGAAAGTATTGCATGAGAATTTCATTTCTGCCATATACCACCTTGGTATGTGCCTTGTCTTTCAAATTCTGTTGGGTTGCTAAGCAATACCTGTCATTCAGTTTGTCTTAGTACAACATTCATTGTTCAAAGTTTCGGTTGAGTTCAATACGACACGGCCAAGTCCTGAACTCGGTGGCCTCCGATCTGATAACGCAACATGAATATCAAGAGTTCTACCTAAATTGGTGGCGATCAGTTGTATCGGTTCAACTCGTAGTTATATTCTTATGAATCAAATATTAGACACTGGACTCGGACCGAATTATTGAGATTTTGGCAAAATCCACAAAAATCTTAGCCAAAATGCAAAAGGTCAAAGAAAAAAGTAAATTGAGAAGAAAATGATGAAACCCACGTGAAAATCTGCAATGTTTCACACCCTAGATCGTAAAAATCACAGGCAGATTCACCCCATGGCGAAACAGAAGAAGGATCCAAACAATTGTGAGGCAAACTTGGCCCCTTTTGTTCTACTTCGTGCAGAAGGTAGCAGGCAGCAGTGGCCTAGATCCCACCTTCCCAGCGATTGACTACGAGTCAAGCCTCCGATTGTATCATCTGAGACAAGGCATCTCGTAGGTCCTCTCTCTCTCTCTCTCTCTCTCTCTGTGAGACGATTCGTCTCTCATGTCTCTCTCTTTCTCTGTGTTAGACCAGCGACCAGTCCATAAGAGTCAACAAAATCTGTGTGTGCTCCTTAAAGGTAATTTTATTTTCTCTTTTTGTCATCGTGCTCCTTAAAGACTATCTTTCATCTTTAAACTAAATTTGTTTTTTTTTTTTTTGATTTTTGGCCCTTTTGGGTATATTTGTATTTTAAAATTCTAATCCTTTTTGTTTCCTTAAAAATAAAGATAAAAAATTATGTGAAATTTAGACATTTGATTTAAATTTAAACCTCTTTGTATCGTTAATTGCAAAAAAAATTAAAAAAATACAAAATCAAAAAATAAATAAAAACTCCTACTCTAATTTTGGCTCGATACATTCTTAAATACTTTTATTGAATACTTATGATTATAAATTTTTTGTGTAGCGCCCAAATAATTAATTTTTACTATACTTAATTATTAGGTGATATATTTTGAACAAAAAAATGCATGGATGTTCTTAATATTTCATGATTTTTCTAAAATTTTTGGGCTTTTGTCTAGCATTTTGTGTGTATCGGCTCATTCTATGTTGTGACGCATTTGTATTACTGCCCCAATTGAGATGAGGATTGATGTTAGAATTTAGAACAAAGGGTTGGGTGAATTCCAATCTTCCCATTTCTTAGGGATCACCTACTTCTTGTCTTCAGTGCCCTTGCTGCCTTCTTTCTGTTAGTATGATTTATTTTTTGACTATGAAGCACAAATACTTTTTTTAGGTCAAAATATTTGTATTGAAATGAAATTCATCGGATACACGAATATGCGTATCGTATATGTACAATGCATATATAAATTAGTAAAATATTTTTTATTTTTGAAAACGTCTTTGATATTGGTATCAAATATGAATATTTGTTTGTGTCTAATTTCTAATTTCAATTTTTACCTCTAAAATTCAAGTGCAATAATATACAAAAATAAAAATTCATGACTTTGAAAACATGTGCGTGTTTTTTAGTATCAGCCATTAACACATGTCAAAAGCCACATAATAAGAGTTGATCACACCCTATCTCTTGGAAATAAGTAATTTTAAACAAACAAATTGATTAAATGTTGGCTCTGATTCTTTTATTAGCCATGTTCATTTTGTGGGTATTTAATGATGAGACCATATATGTTTCTTTCAAAGTAAAAATTATTATTATTTTTTATCATTAAAGATTTTATTGAAAACTATAATCATCACATCGTGAGATAATGGGAAAAATATGAAATATTTTGTATGTGGACGTATCTTGCAATATGTGTGCCTATTTTAAAGTTTTATTGTATCGCTATGGTCGTATCCTATTGCATCCATTTCATATATCCCGTATCTGCATACGTGCTTCGTAGTTTTCTGGGCAAATTATTACTTTGACATCAACATTGGGCGAAGTTTCAATATTGGCAAGTGACAGATGTCTGATCATGAGGTGCTGTGAATCAATAACCAGGATGGTGCTAATGTCCACCGGGTGAGGTGGGATTGCCATTATTTTTCCTCCAAAAAATATTACATATGTAATCGAAGGCAACATCCTAAAGTTTTGAGGGTTGGGAATAGTTTATAGTTTTCAATCACATCAAGTTGTTGGTTCTTACCCCAATTCTTCATTGATATGACAGTTGCTATGATTTTATAATTTTTGTAAGTCTGGCTCTTTGTTGTTGAACAGCCTGTGATCTTGTTATTAGATGGAAATTCTAGAAATTAATTTTTAGTGTTAGAAAAAGAATGTCAACACATGTTTCAAAGTTGGCTTAGGATGATTAGTGTTCCAGAATTGAAAAGCTTGGATTGGACATGTCAATAGGCAAACCATGAGTAATTCATCTAAGTATCTTAGGTGGTGTTTATGAAGCTAATTTCACTGTGAAAGCGTGATTGCTAGGCAATGGTAAGTTTTTCTTTTGCTTCTCTTCTATAAATGTTGCGTGTTTCTTTGAACTCTGCAGACATTGGTTCAATATGAGTTGCCTGTGATAGTTATAGTCTTTAACAATAGTTGTGTATATGGTGGTTGACTGGAGGTGCCCTGAAAAAATTGCAGGACCTTACAAAGATGATCCAGTGGCAACGTCTTTGTCCCTAGTGCAGGATATCATCTTCGAATTGAAGCTTGTGGGGGAAGAGGTTATCTTGTTAGGACACCTGTTGAACATAAATCTGCACTTTCTGCATCTTTTTTTGCATGAAGCCTGCTGTCATAAACGTTACAATCGATCCAGTTGTTGGTACAAAAAGTGGGAGGTTGCAGCACAAAAACTAAGGTAAGCTGCAGCACAG